CATCGCACCTAATCCTACTGACACTGCATCGCATATCTCGGGGTGATAGAACATCGGATAGGCCCATCCGATACAAATATCTTGGCAGTGAATACTTAAAGGCCCTTGTAGAGTTTTTTTGTGTTCCCTATTTGGTGGTTTCTTCCACTTTAACACTCATCTTCAGGGTAAGACTTGATAAAACAGATGTTAAAGCTTGAAGAAAATTTTGAGTAGCACTAATTCTTTTCACTGTTTTTGCATTCAGACAATCTCCTGCTGAAATTCTGCCCCTTTGGGAGTTCCACAATGGCTGAAAGGCTGTTAGGCTGAGGTCACTGTGGAAAGAAGGAGCTTTCCAGGCTCACTCAGATATTTATAAATAGAGACCAGTTCTATGTACTGAATCTCTTCCTCACTCAATCTTTATCAATGCAATTTTCAGCAGTCCTAACTTGAGAACTCCCAATTCCACTTCTGAAAACTATCTCTTAGATTCTGTCAACGCATATCTTACTTATACAATCCAAATAAAACAGTCAGTCCTACCCTTCAGAAACCCTAACCACAGAATTACCTACCTTATTGGATTCTGGTTTCATGGTTTGTAAATCTCCTACTATAGTGAGCTCCTTATTGGTCATTTGACCCAGTTCTTACAACCTGTGTGTGGGAAAGATCCCTGTTGTCACCAGACATAGGTCGGGGTCTGCGAGGGGTACAAAGGTGCCCCTTTTGTAATGTTCATAGCCCCAGACACCGGGGACCTGGCAAACGGGCACTGGTAAAAGCATCAGGCCTAGGACTGACCACCTTCTGTAATCCTACAGTATGCCTTTGGCGAGTTTGTATATTTCTACGAGTCTTTTCCATACATCGTCTCTCATCCCATGTACACAGTGGGATTTGCCAAGATTTAGTCAGGTAAGTGAACTAGACCACCCCTGAGTAGTTGAATAGCCACCCTGACACAAATCACAACTACCCACCAAAAAATCTCCTCCCTAATGCTTCCAACCGAGTCACTTTTCTTGATTCCTTTGGCATCAATCCCCCTGTGCAGTTTTCTGTCACAAGCTGATGGGCTTCATTGAGTCCAAGCTAAGGGTCGGTTCCAAAAGATCCGGGGCTTCTTTTGATCAGTCCATGACTAAAAAAATATAAGTCTGTGCAATGTACGATCATACTTGTTGTCATAAGTGATGCAATAAATATCTCCACGAGTCAACCTCTCGAGACCAAAAGGAGCAAAAACCTTTCACAAGTCAAATGAAAGTGGTTCCCTTTCCCTGTTGAATACTATTCAAGTGGGCTTGGTGAATGGGTTCAATTGTGGCACAAATCTGAATCGACTCAGTCCAACTCAAAGAACACGACCAAGGAACGATAGGATTTTCAGAAAGCCAAATTATCATATTCCAATCATTTTTGCTTACGAGATAAGTCTCCACCCAGAAAAAACCTGGCATCACTGTACAGCTACAGAACCAGGGATTGCAGGATGTAGCGTCAGAAAATGGAATAGCAGACATGACGAATAATGTACTAATTGAACGCATTGTTTTTCTTTCATAATCGATAATAGAACATGTTAAACTGAGTTAGCAGAATTTTCGTCTTCCAATGATGTGTCTGCGCATTTTATTGTTGGGGTCCCTCTTTCAAACTTGATCGACCTATCAAGAAAGATATTGTGTGAGGAGGATCACCCGACCAAAATAGATCGTCATTAACTGGTACAACACTCAAAATACCAAGATTCCAATCGACAAAATACTTACCGGCCCTCATAATTTCATCCGTGACGAGTAAGTTCATGGCGATCACACAACAGCTGTGAAGAAGTTGTCGTTTGACACGATAGTTGTCCCAAATCCCTTCAGCAATCGGGTCTAAAGGATCACCATTGGTGAGGTCTACTCCCACCGCTCTCGTGGGCTCACTGTCGACGAGCTCGTCCATCAGATTTGAGAGCACTTCTTGTACATCCAATCCAGCATTTGAGGCCAATGTTTTGGGAACTACCAATAACGCATCCGCAAAGGTCTGGATACCAAGCTTGAATTTGCCCTTTGCTTCTGCTTTAACTTTACCAGATAGATGCCGCGAGCAGGCAACTTCAAATGCGCCAGCGCCAGGTACCACTGCTTGATCCTCGAGGGCATTCTTGACTGAACGGAATCCATCCCTCAAACCATCGTGAATTTGACTTATAGAATGAGGATTTGGACCTGTGGGCATGAAGAGGTTACTGATCAGCCAGTTGCCCTACGTACACGACAGTCAAGGTTAAGAGCGAAGCCGGATCGAGCCATGTATAGGAGCGCCGGTAGATGGCTATTCAAGATAGAACGGCTCGCATGCAGTAAGTGATGACGAACCTTTGATTAGTAATGTTACTGACTTCGGGTCACGGACCTCTTCTACAAAAGTAAACTTTTCTTCCCCAAGCGTATGTTCGTAGACCAAGCCAGCGTATCCCAAGACGTCTTGAGTAAGGTCCTCGACGGAATTTTGGGCAACACCACCACAGACCAACTGCAATCTGAAAACCGCTCAAAAGCAAACATTTTGACATAGGGTTCATATGAATCAATATTCATAATGGTGACATCACTGAAAAAATATATCTATAAAGTGAAGGACGAGGACGAAACCTTTCCATATTCCGTCGCTTGGCACGTCGGAGAGCCAGGATGCCACTTTTGGCCAACATGTCAAGACTGAGAGGGTCGATACCTTTCTGATTGATGACCACAAAACCTTTCGGCTTCTCATTCGTACCTTGAGCTCGACCAGCAGCGATTGCCTCCAAGTCCATTTCCGTGTCACATACGCGTCTTTTCAATTCAATGATTTTTTTGACACGCGCGTCGATGAATTTACGTTCAGATTCGACTAGCTTTTCACGTTGTTCGGCTGACGAGTAAAAAAATCCCGAGTTCACTTCACTATTATTTTGAGACATGGAGCAGAGCGTGGTGCAATATGCAGTTCAGTTTAGGTCGACTTGATCAAGGTATGCCAACCAATCTCGCTTACGTTTTCTCATATTCGAGACTGACATTCAACGTCAAGACAAATGCATTCTCGACTCGCTTAGGCATATCAGGATGACGGGCACCATGATCAAGTACCAAGCCGCGGATAAGACGCGTATCGGTGTCTGTACGATGTTGCATTTTCATGATCTCAATCATATGGAGGTCGATTGGTAGGTCAGCCTGTTTGATCGCAAGTACAGCATCGACCACGTCTGTTGCAAGCTTTTTGGCAAGTCGATGATGTAACTTTGTCGCCAGCGAGGTGTGAGCAACGGCTACCAACGTCTGATGATCAATATCAGGCTTTTTGCGCTTGAAGTCATCAAGGAACTGAATATGGTGAAGAAAAACGATCATAATCAATTCCCAGCGAGCCCATAATGGCTTCATCATGTCATGTTCACATGGGAGGGTGGAGTAAGACACTAAACTTACTTTAACACTTTCGGTCTTGGCAATTTCTAAACCCTCAGAGATCACACGCGGATGAACGCCCTCACTGATGTATCGCTCTGCCTGTTTTAGCGTCTCACCAACGAGCAAGATACAAGAAGTGGTACCGTCCCCAGTTTGCTCGTCCTGTGCTGTTGCTGTTCGGGCGATCATTGCTGCGGTGGGGTTCTGAATTTGCATTTCTGAAAGCAAGACTTTTCCATCCTGAAATTACATTTCTCAGTAACGTCGTATGCACAAATTTTTTCGAGCGCGATGGTTAGAGATACCTTGGTCATTTTGATATTCCCAGCACCGTCAACTAGCATCTTGATTGTTCCCCGTGGACCTGTTCATCATCAAACAGATAAAAGCGAAGCGGGAAATAATTCCAAGGTTAAAATTGGGTTTTGGATATATGCTGATGAGAAGCCAAAAGGCTGACCAAGATTTGACCTGACAACGTTGGCAAGACCCATAGCACCTAAAAGTAGTAGAAGTCAGCCTAGGGCTTTCAGCAGGTCCCGTGTGAGGAAAATGTGAGAAAGACAGACCGGTGGTATTGACTTGCAAGGCTTGCGCCCGGCGAATGGACTCGGCCTTCGGGTTGATGAGTTCGACAGCAGACCTGAGAGAGGAAGGTAAGCATGATGCAAGGCATACAGTAGCTGGTAGAAAAGGACGAACATGGTGGTGAAAATGTTATAGATAGGGCAATCGAATGGCTGACTGAAATTATGAATTCAATCGGTTGAAAGAACTTGACGATGGGTCGATCGAGTTGGGTTTACTGTAGTATTACAGTACATACATAGCCTATGTGTACTTAGCTAGGGAACCTGGCCCAAAACTATCAAACCCGCTTGCAATCAATAGAAAGAAAAACTATCAACCCTGCATTTTCCACCTGCCACTTCTTGATATCTTGAAGCCGATTTTAGATTAATGTATAATCATGCACTACGTAAACCCCGATTGGAGGCTATGCGTTTCTGAACATGAATTTCTCCGGAAAAACTGTTTCTAAACTACAAGGGTGTTGGAATGAGACCACTGCATGGGCGCTTTGAGTATCTTGGTCGATTAGCTTAGTTGGTAGAGCGTGGTACTAATATTTGGTTATCAATGCCAAGGTCATGGGTTCGAGCCCCATATTGACCATCTTTTGCGTCTGCGGAGAACTTTTTTCAGGTCCATGGAGAAGAATGAGTTCACCAAATGTTTGCTTATTTGATAATTTTACAATGGCCAGGCAAGTACAAGTTGGTTCCAGAAATGATCAAGTCTTGATTTCATAAGGGATAGCCTTTTCCAATTATATGTATACTGAGACAGTATCTGGATCATTTTACTGACAAAGTTGTGAGTTAAGATGGTGGAGTAAAAAAATATCAAATTAGTAGCAACAATTTTACTGAAAAGGTCTAACAATCTGTAAATGAATTTGGTTTGTAGGTATACATGTCTTGCACTAGCTTGCAGGAAGGCATGTAAACGAGCAAGGGAGGACTTTGTTGAATTTGATCCAACTCCTTTCAGGTCTGGAAGAAACCCTTTGATGGTGAGACTCTCAAAACCCAAATTAACTCGAACCATAAGAGACAAGGTTTCATACAAAAATAAACCATCTGTGTATGAGGGATTGAGCAAGAACCTAGATTTTTTTGTTTTTTTTTTTCTCTCCCCTAGACTGAAGATTCAGACTGGATCTTGTACTTGGCAAATGGACAACACAAGAGGATGACTTTCAATTAGTCAAACCAGATAAACATCCTTACTTGCCGTTCTAACCCAATCTTCACCAACAACATATACAGATGAAAAATGCACAAAGCGCTTCATAGGCAGATGAGAAATAAAACCCTTGATCTCGAGCTTATTCTTGAAGAATCTCAAGTTGAATTTTGGCTGTAGTTGGGCATATGAGAACCTATCTGTGAGAGAACTCTCAAGATTGAGCTTTTTTTCCCCTAAGTCTTGCTACTTAGTAACTTCAGGCCTGCGTAGTGCCAATAAACATGTCAAAAGCTCTCAGCAATTCTGGCAAAAAAAATAAATAGAATTGAGTGATGCCACTTTAACTCTGGAAGAATCTTCAAAAGGTGACCTGAGCACTTCTGACTACAAGTACTCAGTTTTCAGGCAGAGATGATGGGACCGAACCCTTGAATGTTGACCTCAAGGGTTTCTTGCCCTGCATTTGCACACTCAAAACAAGTATATCATGTGCCTTAGCAGAGATGTTCACAGACTGGAGATGCGCTGCAGTCAACCCTCGAGGCTAACATTTAAAGGGTCAGGTCCCAGCCTGACATAGAACTTAATGTTGAGAAAACAATTTCTGCCGTCAAAAAGCTGCAATACATCTTTTCTAGCAACCACTTACAGTTTTGAAGCTTGCTACTATAATCACACATTGCCAACCTTAAACAAGTTCAAGTTCCATCAGGAGAAAATGTGATATCGAAGCCATGACATTATCTACATATTCCACAAGTCAAATTTCTTTAAAACTGACAGTGACAGAGTGGAGTTTTTCCAAACATTGCCCACTAAGCCCTCCTTAGATATGATGGACAAGATATAATATTTGTTACCTTGAGGACTAAAGTGTTGCGCAATGTAGTCAACTGAGATCTTATAGGATATTTGTTTACCTAAAATAATCCATGCGTGTAACCACTGAAACTGTGAGATTTTCAGGCTGCTATGTTTCACTGACTCACATGACGTTTTGAGCTACACTCTGAGAGTCAGCTTGTCAGGATTAGATGCGTAAAAGACTCGCTAAAAAGCCGAGAAATTCCTATTGTAGTAGCATGCAGTCCAGGTGTGGTTGTACAGTACCCGAGGTCTATTCGGAGACACACTTGCCTTCACTTTTTCGCTTCAGGTCGCCCCGACACTTCTTACACTTGAGTTCCCAATTATGGTCATCCAAATATCTTAATCGAAACGTCTTTTGCCTGCTATTCTTAGAAGCAGAGTTCAGTAACGGCGTGTCAGCTTCAAATCACAGGGACAAAAGAATCAAAGAGACTGCTTCTTACCAACGTTAGCTTCACGGCACAGGTTTAGAACCGAAGCCGCCAGTGCTTCCAAAGCCACCAGAACCACGTTCTGTTTCAGCCATCGATTGTACTTCAACACTGTTCGTGGTCCAGATTTCAAGCCATCGGACTAGTCAGCACATCTCCCAACGCCCCCGCACGCTTACATTGGTCACTAGACATCTTCTACTTGCATTTCAGGTGTGACGATTCTCTCGATGACAAGTTGCGCTACGCGGTCTCCCTTTCGAACTGGATGATAATGGACAGCATGAAATTGGATCAACAACAGTGGCAATATCAGATTTATATGAAGGTTGAAACTGACCTTGAAAGTCGTGTTCGCTGTGGTTGAAAAGTACAACACCCACTGGTCCGCGGTAGTCTTCGTCTATCACACCGGCTCCTGTGTTGATCCCATGTTTCACGGCCAACCCTGATCGAGGAGCAACACGGCCATATGTGGAAGGTGGGACAGCGATGATAAGATCCGTAGGTACTACTGCTCGACCACCCGCCACAATCACTGCATCAGCTGACGCGTAAAGATCATAGCCTGCTGCCGCCTTGCTTCCCTTTGTTGGAATCGTGGCATCAGGACTCAAGCGTTGAACTTGCAAGGTGTCAACCGTTGGTGGAGCCATCTGGTACAGTTCGAGGGTTGATAAACTTGATAGAGGGTAATGAGGCGCAGCGGGCAGTCGAGTGTGTGCTGAGCAGAGACCGATACAACGCGTCAAGCTGGATCCCGATCGATTAAACACAGAGCCCGGCTAGTTTGAAATTCTGAATATTTGTTTTTTGTGGGGGACAAAAGGTTCGGGATTTTAAACTTGAGGAAAGTCCCGAGCCAGCGTCCGGGGCCGCTCCGGATGTGGGCGCGGCGCAAAAAGCGAAGAAGGCGCAGCTTTATATCATATGTGGGTCAGATCAGCCCACCTTACCATCAGTGGCTCTGAAACAGCATGGTACCCAATCCACATTCTTGAGCCTGTATGAACCTTTTCTTGTCTTCAGAAGTCTAATTGTGGAACCTGCCTGAGAGCGTGCCTGTCTCTCACCAAAGCTTTGTTGCAGATGGAAGAATTGAAAACAGATCGCTTGACTACATACTCTATTCCTTGAGCATATTTGTATAAAACATCACTTTGGGATCTAATTGCTAAAATATTTTGATAAGTTCCTTATGATAATAAATTGTGCACCTCTAACAGAAAAAGTAAATCTAACCTCGCTTTAGGTTTTGTTTGCTTCCTTTTTTTGGAATCATGTCCTTGAGGACTTGCTTTGGTCATGACCAACTTCTTGTTCTACACTTCCCTGAACCTCATCACAAAATTTGAATGGCATATGCAGAATAATGTGTGCACCTATACCCATAGGAAATAGAGCCCATAATGGTGATTTATCTGTGAATCCTTTTCTGTAAGTGGTAGCTTTGTGGGAGCTCAAATTCACTTGGTTTTGGCCAAACTGTTCCAAGGGGGGATTAAGCTCAAAGCCTTAGGTATTGAAAACCATTGTGGACAATTAATGCTGCAGGAGTTGGTTCCTGGCAGGACTTGGGGCACAGAAACAAACCACAAATGAAGGCGCTGAAGTTCCCAACAATGGTTGACTGAAATGAGTTTTCACAGAGGATTGTTTGGGCAAAGGAATAATAAGAATAGGCTATTGTGTTATGGAGTGCTCTGATACAGTGAAGAAGTAAGCACTGCCAGCAGAAACTACTAGGACGTGGTTGTTCTAGAAGTCCTAGGACCAGAGTTGTCCTAGATGTTCCTTGTTTGGACAAGGAAAAACTAGGACAAAGCCTGTCTGATGAAATCTAGGACAAGCTTGTCCTAGATGTCTTTGTCGGCAGTGAAGAAGTAGGACAGGGACAAGTTGAATTGGGGTCTGGCCAATTGCTGCTGTAAGGGTCAAGCTGAATATGCGTTCATGTGCCCAGATAAGCTCAAGCCTATTAGCATGAATGAAATGGAAACAAGCCAATAGAAAACACAAGGGATGATAAAAAAATGCGAGTTCCTTCAGATCCTTTTTGGAAGAAATGGCATAGCATACGAAAAACAAACACGTAATTGGCGAGATGTAGGAGATAGAGTGGAAACTGATACATTGCGATGAAAAACTGTTTCATGGGAAAATCCGGAACATCGCGTATCTTTGAAACGCGTATGGTTCCTAGGCAGCCGGAGACTGTCAGTCGGCGTTACATCCCGGCATGAGATTTATGGCAGGCAAGGCATACATTTGAGTGGGTCTACACGCCAGCAATCCTGATGCTGCGTCCTTCAGCTTGTGCGAGTGTCTCGACTTCCCGCTGCCTACCTCTGGAGACGACATCACAATTACCTTGACTTTCGGGCTGTACCAAAAGAGATGATTACAACCTTGGTATAAGCATTAACCCAAATAACCATTGAAGACTTCCGAAAAACAAAAAGTCTTTACCTTTTGCCAAGAGAAATAAACCATTAGACCTGCTAGCGTCAAAATATACGCAACAAAGTAGAGCCCTAAAAAGATGCACATTTCAGTATTTTTTCTCGTGCGATACGATTTTATTGACGACCTACAATAGGGTTCGTAATGATAGAGACCAAACCCAAAAATGAGACCATAAAAGTCGGAAGTCAAGATTGAGATATTGTAAAAGGGCGACGAAGCCAGGCGGAAGATCAAAGGTGCCACAGTGTAGAGGCACAGCATTGATATTGTGTATCCCACAAGTATTCCGACTTTGAGTGGTAGTTATCAAGTCAGACATATTCAACAGTTTTTTTCTCTGAGTTTGATGAGGGAGGTGTCACTGAACTAGTTGGCCCATTCCATGTCTGATCTGCCCATATTGAGTGTTCCAAAGCAGCGGCTTGAATACCTGCGATTGTTTTACACGCATATTCAAAGTTGGGTTGATAGCTGCTGATATTTGGTAGGAAAGGTCAACACACCATTGATGATGGTGCCCCAGAACCCGATTTGACCGATTACTTCATACAGCGGCCTTTTGCGTACCATGTATTCTTGCAATACGTTGCTCATAGCATACAAAGTGGCTCCAATCAACATCAGGCCGTCTCCCAAAGCTTTGTTCCGCGCGGGGTA